ACATTTTATCAGGCAGTACCTGGTCGCCTTCATAGGGTTGATACTGAAAGCGGAGGGGCAGGCAAAAGGCTGAGATGTTGGCCTGCATGAGAGTGTCTCTGTCCTGGTTCTGGTTCAGTTCTGACACAGTTGTGTCCAGCTGCTGCATCCCAGTGCTCAAGTTCTGCTGGGCCCACTGGCGACTGGCCAGGTAAAAATGAAACACCTTGGATATGGACTGGTGGTAACCCAGATCACAGCACTGAGAGGGCATGCAATGAGAGGTTGAGTTAAACCTGCTCAGTACTGAAACCTGATTGTATAGCTTGAGTGTAATGAACTCACATCTATGAGAGTGGAGAGATCCTGAAGGTAGTATTTGTTCATGCACGCATTTGCTGCAGCCAAGTTGAGCAGGTAGTCATTGCGTGCTTTTGTGCACTTTAGCTGAATCTCCTGAACTTTACATTGCCTCTGTGCACAGATAAAGAGATGAGATGTAACCTCAGATGTTACTGGAACAATCACTTATCCACACACATTTAGTGAGTCACAGTTCAAATCTCACAAGGTGACCACAATAACCAACCGCTGTGATCTATAGTCTGCCAACCGTGTGCAGCGAACACTTGCCCCACATCACTCTGCACAGTGGAGGATGCAGCTCATGTTCATGTAGGCAAAACACTGTAACACTCTCTTGCTCCCTTGATTCTGTAACCAGTCAGAATGTTTTTGTGGCATAATGTAAATTAACACAAATTTTGACATTCCTAATTTTCTTTAAAAACAACATCAACTAAATAAAAAAATAATAAAACAAATCATGGCCATGAATGAACTAATATGAGGTAATTAATTCATCATTTGTGGCCACAAATTATGTTTTATTTTATTTCACAGTTTTCACAAAAATATTGAGCAGAACAACTGTTTTCAACATTGATAACAACAAGAAATGTTAAATATTGAGCACCAAATCAGCATATTATAATGATTTCTAAAGGATCATGTAACACTGATGTCTGGATTAATGGCTGCTAAAAATTTGGCTTTGCCATCAAAGGAAAAAATTACATTTTAAAATACAGAGAAATAGAAAAGTTATTTTAAATTGTAATAATATTTCAAATTTTTTTTTTTTTTTTTACTTTAGTTTTGATTAAGTAAGCATAAGAAAAAGTTACTTCTTTCAAAAACTTTTATAACCTACCCCAAGCTTTTGATTGGTAATATATATATATATATATATATATATATATACTGTATATTACGGGGGAAACATATAGTGTAAAGAGGAACTTATCTCTTTTTTTTTTTGGTAATCAACATTATGCCACAAGTGCTGTCGATTAAGCTTAACTTGTACTGATTCCTAAATATATCTTAATTATAACCATTTTAAACACATCTATTTCATATGTTGGTATTAAAAAGGGAGTTATACTTTCTCTATTTGTCTTTCCATCTTTTTAGAAGCACTTTGCTTTTGCTTTTCCTCCAGTCTGACTGCCTCCTTTAGTTTGCCTTCTGCAGACAGGAACTCAGTGTAGTACTGGTAATATGTCTTCAAGGTCTGGTTTCCAACAAACACAGGAATGAGATTTGCAGTGACATTTTACAATCCATTAAAATGTAAATTCAAGCAAACATCGTTTCTGAAAGAAAAATGTGGCTTGATGAGAGGAATGAAGGGTTAAACTTACCGTATGAAGTTCTGTGGTGACCTTCAGAAGTCCATCCTGTAGCTGGGTGCAAATGTCTCTGCTCTGAAAAATATAAAATATGCAAAAACAGAAAGATAAATGATCATTTTAGAAACTGTGTATTACAATGTCAGGCGAGTGGCAGGTGACTATGCCAAAGGTGTTGTATGTCTGTGCACTGTTTGCAAAGTATCAGTGCAAAGGAAGCCACATGTATATACGTGGGCATGTTTGCTCCTTCAAGTCTTGTAATGTGTGGGTGCTTATTTTTGCAAAATGTGAAAATGTGTGTGTGTGTTTGTTTGTGTGTGTGTGTGTGTGATGGTGGGTGTGTACCCGCTTGGCCAGGCGTTGGGCATGTTCAGCACAGTGTGAAAGCTGCTGAGGCAGAGTGTTACTGTAGCTGTCACTCAAGAAACTGTGATCTCTGCTCTCCTGCCGTGTTTGTGTCAACAACACCTGCCAGCAGTTAACCACTGACTGATGGCTGGGCTCCTTCCTGAGGGGCAAATGAACAGAGAACTGAGTTATCAAGTTCCTGGTAAGATACATAGCCATACAGGCAAATATGTTTTGCCTAAAATAAAATATATACCGTACTGTTTAAAATTTGGGGTCAGTAAGGTTTTTTTTTGTTTATTTTTTAAATAAATTAATACTTTTATTGAGAAAGGATGCATTAAATTAATTAAAAGTGACAGTAAAGTCATTTATAATGTTACAGTTTTCTAGTTCAAATAAATGCAGGAGTAATGGCTTGAAGTAATCCCTGGAATAAATTAGATTTTAAAATACATTAAAATAGAAAACAGTTACTTTAAATTGTTATAATAATTCACAATATTTCAAATTTTACTGTATTTTACTGTATTTATGGACCACAAAACCAGTCATAAAGGTCAATTGATTTATTATTATTATTATTATTATTATTATTATTTATTTATCAGATTTATACAATGTATACTGAATAAATACATTTATTTATATTATTAAATAAATGTATTATTATTTATACTGAATAAATAAGCTTTCCATTGATGTATGGTTTGTTAGGATAGGACCATATTTGGCCGAGATACAATTATTTGAAAATCTGGAATCTGAGGGTACAAAA